ACAACCAGTCAATGGAGGAATGCAAATTTGTTTAACAACTGTGGCATATAAGGTTATATATTTAACAGCTGCACTGCTTAGTAACAGAAGTTCCGCTCATGATTGTGATCATAGACAGAGAACTATCAGATATGTGTCGATGAAGTCTTCCAAACCCAGTTGAAACTACTATAAGCAACCTGGAAATGTTGCTTTTTTAAAATCGAAAATTCCACAGATGACAATAAGAAACATCTCCGAAAAGAAAACTTTTCAAGATAAAAATGGATGCAGTTGTATAGAAAACACACTTGCCTCAAGTGAGAAAATTAAGACAATGTGGATGTTTTACTGTCAAGGTGGGAGTTCATAGATTTGGGTAGGCCAGTCTGAGGATATGTATGCTCTTATTTGTAATGTTGACTATCTCTGAGAAATTATGCTTATACAATCTAATTTTCGAAGTGTAGCACTTTCCTGGGTACTGTGACTTCCATCAAAATCCACAGGCCAATAAATCTTTCATGGGCTTGGTGGGGGGCTGTATGTTTTATGGGGAATAACTTATTTTGTTTAAAAAAGAATACCCACATTAATTTTTGGGGACTGGCATCTATTTAGAATTTAAATCCTATGAGAAAAAGTTGGAATTATATCCTTTGTGAGGGTAGGAAACAATCTGGGAAGAGGAGATATTAACAGAGTTATGATCATGGTCTTTCAGTCTCTGAAAGCTCTTGTAGAAAAGGTGTTCTACTCATTCTCTCCATTACAAAACTAGAACCAACACACACATTTTGGATTTGGGGGAAGGTGGAGGAATCCATGGGCTAAGCAGGCACCAAGCTAGAAGTAGGAGACCAAGCTGGCAGGCTGACTTTGGGTCAATCACTAGGAAACTGTGAGTTCTAGTCCTGCCTTAGGCATGAAAGCCAGCTGGGTGAGTTTGGGCCAATCACTAGGAGATGGGGAGTTCTAGTCCCACCTTTGCCATGAAAGCCGGTGGGATAAAATAATAAAGGCAGGGTGATACAAATTATATAAAAGGTAAGTAAGTAAGTTAATGAATACACTAAAACCAGAGCAAATGCACTGACATTATTTTATTTTGGATAGTACCTTAAAGAGGATTTAGAAAGATGAGAGAGTGAGCAGTAGCAGGATAAACAATTGGACAGGTCAGGAGGAATATCAATATACACTAGTAGTAAAAAACAATGGCACAAAAGGCCTTGAAAGATTTTTTTAAAGAAGAGGAAAGGACATGTACATCTTCAAAAACATCGATGAGAATGAGGCAGAGCTGGGAGAGCAGGCAGGTCCCCAATCTGTACTGCCAAGATTTCAGCACCTTTAGTAACCACCACAGCAGCCACCTCTGCTGCCTCTTCTGGAGGAAGGGATAGAGTATGCCATTATCCCACCGCAACCACCACCGAAACCGCCAGGTGAGCACGGCATGTAACAGCATGGGCTGCAGCAGCTCCGCATGCTGCCACAACAGGGCATGCAACAGCCCATGGAGCCGCAGGAATTTCCACAGGGAATGCAAATGATGGTGGTTCCACCTGAGCCGCCATTGCCGCCACAGTTACAGCCACATCCGCCATACATGGTTGCAGGTGGAAAGTCTGAAAAAAATGGATCACAAGGGAACGTCATGTTGTCTGTTTTCCTCTGGTATCGGCAAGCTCCTTTGTGCCCCCACCAGTTCAATGGAATTGGGGGCATTCATTGTTTTGCAGTCTTTACTCAACTAACAATAAATCCCCTTTCCCTTGTCTTTGTGGCTTGATTACAGTTCTACAAGGAACAATTTTGCATTGTTGGATCTTCGGTCAAGCCAAATTTGGCCGATAGTTTTTCTCCAAGATTTGAGGTCGTTATTTTTCCAGATATATATAAAACCTCAATTCTCCACGTCTTTCTGTAAAGCTGGTATTTAACCATGAGGCCCTACTGTTCATATGAACAGATCACAACTGGGTGGACCAGACACAGCTATTCTACTTCCCAAAGCTACCAGATGGATGTTTTTGAGATCTCATGAATTCAGTAGAACCCAATAGTAAGCTTGTGGTTCTCAATAGCTTAAGCTTGTTGTCATCATCAAGTCCACCATGAACTGGCATCATTCCTTAGATAGATCCATCTATCCAGCATTTTATATCTGGTGGTGACCAAGTAGACACCCAAGAGAAGTTCAGAAACAGAAGCTTCTAACTATACCCCCTATAATCTTTTACTGCTATTATAGAAAAAGCTCACGTGAGCTCCCATAACATACCTGGTTGATCTCTAGGAGCTGAAAAGTTCACAACCAATGCAGGTAGGTAGACAGGGACTTGCAGTGGTGGATTTTTTTATATTGTCTGTGCACCTTTTGCGCATGAACACATCACATCCGCTGGAGCCCAAACCTTAAATTAACCATGGGAAAAAACACTTCCTAAAATACGATAATATTTGGTGTTGATTCTCCAGCTTCATTTACCTCTCTCATTAAATATCTTTTGAGAAATATATTGCATGATTAAAATGATTTTCTGGTAGGAATGCTACAATTATCCTCTATGACGAGAAAACCCTGAGGAAATTAAGCCATACTGAGGAATATAGATGTTTAACGCCATGAGATTGTTTACTCACTAGGATGAGAGGAGTTAATGTCATGTACTCATAAGCATGGAAAGTCAGACCCTGAGATCACTACTGAGTGATCTGAATAGTACTGAGTGATCTAAACAGTTCTTTTGCTCTATTATCAATGGAGTGAAGTGAACAATTAGTTTGGACCAACTTTTATACAAAAACTCACTTTGATTTTTTTAAAAAATAGATCTGATTTTAGAACATAGAATCATAGGGCTGGAAGGGACCTCATAGGTCCTCTAGTCCAACCTTGGCTAGAGCATTCTTATCATCCTCAGGGGTGAATAGGTTGGTTAATCCTATCAGTCATTTGGATGATGAGACTTCCTTTAACAGCTGACAACACTGACTCAAGGTTTCATTTGCTGGGTTTTGAAGTTGCTCATCATGCTAATCTGTCCTCTTGTGATGATGGTTGTCCAAACTGGGTCAGTACAGAAACTTCGGTTTGGGTTTAATTGAGCCAGAAATTGGGTGGCTTCGTTGTAAGTCATTCAGAAGGAGAGGGAAGTGAAATTTTCTAAAGCAATTTTCCGATTGAATGATTGGGAAACTTAGAGGTAATTCTGCTGATTGTCCGTGCAAACCTACACGGTTCCATGGTTTATCATACCTAAAAATGATACCTGAAAAGGTTCATAGAAGTAAGCCAGGCCAGCAGAACCTGACACAGCATTCAGATATTTTAATTAAAAGATATAACATAGATGATTACAGCTTTGTCTCCAATAGCCAAGAACACCATTAGCAGGCATTATTTTCTGGAGAAGGGTATGGTTGAAGCTTAGTCACATCCTAGTTGGAATACTCTAACATCCTCTACAAGGAGCTATCTACCTTGGATAAAGAGAGCAGAGGAAAAAAATAATTTCCTTCCAAACATCGGGTCATCCAAGGCAACTGACTAGAAGGCGATTCAGAAGAGACAAAAATGTCCTTTATACAGCTGTCTCACTTCCTAAGCAAAAATTGAGGGAGGTGCATGTAAAGTCCAGTTTTGCTTATTTTTTTGTTTTTCTCTGGCTTTCCGTTTTTCTGCGTAACTTGCTGAACAAAGCGAGGTTAATTTGGCTAACCATTCTTAAGTAAAAAAGATGTTATTTTGGACAGGAATTATTTTCTTCCAAATTTTAAATTCTTTGGGATGTGCTAGCAGGATGGCAAGAAAGATACTTGTGGTATTTGATGTTTAGGGGTCTTTTAGTATCCAACATCATTCCTAACATCAGGATACTGATGGCTTCTGCCTGTTTATTTATTCACACTGCAACTCTTTAAGTATCTGCCAAAGTTCAGCCTGCTGTCCCTTCATCATTAAATATCTTGACTAATTTTTGTTCTTTCAAAATTTCAGAACATTCTTCAAAAGTATTAAGGTGTTATTATATTTAATGTAGCCTTTTCTGAATAGAAGAGGGTATAGATATTGTACATCTTTCCAAAAAAACCTACATGATATCTAAAATTTGAATAGGTCATTCATTGTTTGAAAAGAGACATTGTATAATTCATCACTTCCCTTGTTTTATGAGGCCACATGGCTAGTTTCCATACAAATTGATTTTTATTCAAATCTCACACCATGTCATTAAGACATGGCCCAGTCACAAAGTTTTCAGTTAGCAGAAAAAAACCATGAGATAAAGTTGAATCCAACAATCTCATAGAGCTCCAGAGAAAACTCATAGACTGAGAGCAGATGGACAACTTTCCAAACAAAGCATCGTTTCCATTTTCTAAGAATGCCTGTTCGAAGTTAAAATGTCCCTTGTCTTTGCAATGTCTTAACTAACATTTTATTTATAATTAAAACTGAAAACAATATGTTTTTGAAAAAAATAAAAACTAAGATTGGGCAAAATAACCTTGGTTAACATCAAAGAAGCGATCTCCAGGGTTTACAAAGAGATGTAGTCCTTTTTTCAAGAAACACTGGAGATTAATCTTGAGGTTGGAATTATAAAATCACCATAAATTCCTAGGTAGAGTAAACATCAAGAGTAAAAATCAGTGATTGATGTGAAGGCTTAAATCCAAAGGAAAACATATATTTTATTGAGTTGACTGCATGAGATGTCCTATTGAGCAACCCAGAAAATGTCACAATAGAATTCCTCCTTAAACACCTTTTTAACCTCAACTATGGCGTCTGAATAACCCATGTATTAACTGGAGATAGCATTAAACACCCACATACTATAAATGACTTAGGTAATGGAAACGCGGATTGGGCCAAGCAACACAAACTGGAATGGAGAAATTCAGAACAGGATTCGTGCTTAATAGGGATCAGCTGCTGTTCCCGGATGTCTCACTTCCCTTGAGAACACGTGTCCATTCGTGTATAAAAAGTCCCTGGTTAGAAAGGTTGTCACCCATTCATCGGAGCTTCCAAGCTTTGAAAGCTTCTTCTATTGAGCCAAGGTAAGATATATTTTGTTCTTCAGTCTTACAATAAGATCAAAGGTAGTAGCACCTTCCATCCTTATCTTAGAGGGTTAGATAAAATTGCAAATTTGGAGGGTTAGATAAAATTGCAAATCCACATATTTAGCACCTTCTAAGGAAAATAATGGCAGTAAACAGATTTTCTCAAGTGGACTAAATGTTTAAGGTGAAGATATGAATAGAGTAAGATCTGCTTGTAAGTGAAAAATGATTGGTAGGCCAGGTTTATGGCTTACTGTTGCATGAGGCTAGCTGATTATTTCACAAACCTTTATTACATATCTTCATTCAGCTTAGGTTAAAGCTATTCATGTGATCTGTGACCAAAGTTGTGTTCACATTTAAGAAAACTGGAATGAGAAAAAAAATGGAGCATGATAGGTTGTCGGAGTTGGTCTTTCACAATCTCTTTTTGCTTTACAGATTTGCATTTAGGTCTGCAACCATGAGCTGCTGTCGCTGTTGTGGAGGTCGTGGCTGCTGCTGCTGCAACAGACACAGGCCAAGAACGGTTTACTACGTAGGAAGGCCTGCAACTGCTGGGTGCTGTTGTAGGCCTCGTGGATGTTGCTGCGGCCGTGCACGGTGCTGCTGTACTCCATCTTACCCATCTTACCCATATTATCGAATTCCAGTCCAGACCTATGGCACCCAAGTGAAGAAATGTTAAAGGAACATTGATAGTGTTAGCAAGACCTGCAAGTTAGAGCTACCAGATTCAGACTGCAGAAGCAGCAATGACCACTAGAGGGCAGCGAAGAGCAGGTGCTTTCTGCATCACCCCACTGCCCTCTCGTGATCATTTGAAATATGGCAACCCAGATACGACGATAAGTTGCCCTTTTGATAGCTAGAGGAATGTGAGAATGTTACTTGCTCCTCTTGCAAGACTTGCTAGATTATCTCTCACTCATCTTGCCAAGTTGATGAACAGAAGCCTCGACACAAATGTATTACGCAACGCTCTTTGATCTTGACTTTATTCCTGAAAAGATTAGAATCGTTTCCTCATAACTGAAAGGCAAATGGCACCATTTTTCTTTTCTTTTTTTCTTATGATTATCGGGTGATTTTTTCCCACCTGGGGTTTAGATCTGCCCTCCAAACTGGTTCTATAGCCATTTAGCCTTTCCAAAAAGAATAGTTTTGGGTGATGGGTTGCATTTTCTTTGGCAAAGCAAGTCTTAGCTCTGTTGCCATTTTCCAATCCTTGTAATCTTTGTTGTTTCAATAAAATTCTGAAGTTCTAGAAGTTTTCCTTTCCTTTTTTTGTATTTATTCCTCAGGAAATGTTCAGTGACATTTCTAATTCTTACTGCCACATAAGTACTGATGTTAATATAGCCGGAACTGACTATTTTTATTCAGATATTGACTTCATGTCGCAGTTTACTTTTAAATTTGGACAGCCATGTTGTGTTCAGACATGACGTGTGTGTGTGTGTGTGTTTATGTGTGTGTAGGTGTGTGTGTGAGTGTGTGTGTGTATTTAAACCAAATCAGAGGCAGATCTTTAGGCTGGATTAGCATTAACCATGGCTAGCCTTTGATTTTGAAAAAGCTGGTTTAATGGCTGTTGTTCCTATTTGTAATACCACTCTATAAAGCCTTAGTAAGACCACACCTAGAGTACTGCATCCAGTTTTGGTCATCACAATATAAAAAAGATGTTGAGGCTCTAGAAAGAGTGCAGAGAAGAGCAACCAGGATGATGAGAGGACTGGAGACTAAAACATTATGAAGAACAGTTGCAGGAACTGGGCCTGGCTAGTCTAGGGAAGAGAAGGATCAGGGGAGACAGGAGAGCAGTCTTCCAATATTTGAGGGGCTGCCCCAGAGAGGAGGAAGGGGTCAAGCTATTTTCTGAAGCCCCCGAAGGCCAGACAGGGAATAATGGATGGAAACTGAACAAGGAGAGATTTAACCTGGAAATAAGGAGCAATCAACCCATGGAACAGAAATTGCCTTCTGAAGTTGTGGAAGCTTCATCACCAGAAAGAAGAGATTGGACTGCCATTTCTCAGAAATGGTGTAGGGTCTCCCGCTTGGGCAGGGGGTTGGACGAGATGACCTATAAGGTCCCTTCCAACTCGGATTATCTGTTATCTGTTAACTTTCATCTTGATGGCTTATTTATCCCCGCTTAGCTTCTTGGCCCCCATTTCTCAATAACCAGAGTTATTCAGAATTTTAACACTCATCACGCCTCCATTTTGACAGGAAAATGATGGGCTGAAATGCCTCCAAGTCTTCCCTGAGGTAAAAAAACCCACCATTTTGCTCAGGACAGCTTCTCCTCAGGATAGCTCTAAGCAAAAGATCCTCCCATCATCAAAGTCCACCAATCCCAGTGCACAGTGGGCTGACATGGCAGTTCCATGGACCAATCCGATTCCTGGATTCCTTTCCCGCCTTTTCCCTCCAAGTTCCCTCCAGAAGCTGCTTGACAGTCTGAGGAGAGAAAAGACTGTTATTTCCCTCTCAGAAACGTATTGAGGAGGAAAATCTTTATTTATTAATCAAACATATGCGGTTTTTATTTTATTTATCTTTTTAAATGCTTTTACTCCTTCTCCCCCTTTCTTTGAATCTGTCAGGGGGTTTTTAGGCTGTTTTTAGAAATGTGGAAAATCTTTCTGATTGGGGTAAGATCCAGACAGGTTTAATAATAAATATTAATGCCAGGATAAACCATGTTTGACTCAGCCCCCAAGCTTGGTTAACTATGGTTTACGGAATTGACTGGAATTGGCTTTGGGCTTGAGGGAAAACAGAGAAATGTATTTCTTTATTAACATTTTATCCCATCTTTATTAGGTTATAAGTAACTCAAGGCAGTGAGCATACTAATACTTCCTCCTCCTATTTTTCTACAACAACAACCTTGTGAAGTGGGCTGGGCTGGGCTGGGCTGAAAGGGAGAAAGCCTGGCTCATATAGAATAGAGATAAAACATTGTGTAGTGCATATTTTTCTAAACTAAGATTCGTGTGTTTGTCTGAACAGGATGTCATTGGTACCAGAGTTGCTTAACACGTGTGTCTTAGAAGAAATGTTTGTAATCAGAGTCTCTTTGTTTCTGAAAAGTAGATATAACTTAGGTTTGCGGGTAGAAGGAATCTTTCACCTTCAAAATGTGGCTAACATGTCCTTTGCACGATTGGCTAGGTTTTTCAGACTCTTCCAAATCAAATATTTGGAAGTTGAATGTTGGGTTTATGGTTGATGAATAGACTGGGATTAAACTCGCTATAAAAAGAGCTGAAAGGGGATTTTTTTTCCTCCAATAAAAGATAATATTTGTATCTTTTAAAGTTAACTATGGGGTCCCTGGTGCTCTCTGAGCTTGGTGGTTTTCTTGCAGACATTTCATGACCCAACTAGGTAGTATCATCAGTGCTAGCCCTGGTAATGTTACCTAGTTTAGTAATGAAACGTCTATAAGAAAACCACCAAGCTCAGAGGGTACCAGGGACCCCAGTCTTTTCTACAACTGGCCCACATGCCCTTCTGTAAATCATGTCGTCCAAATTCAAACAGCTGTGTGGACAGAATCACTAAAACCACAATTTGCTTAACAGTTGTTAATCAGGTGTACTGTAACTGTGGCTGGCTTTGGGACATATACCATGCATGCTTTGACTTCCAAAGTTACTTGTCCCTGCCATGAGAAGAAATTGATGAATGAATGAATAAAGTCATTGTTCACGTATTGAACTAAATTTGAATTAGCATCGTGGGTCTTGCATTTAGTGTAGTATTTTGAATAAACTATATCTAGATCAGGTAAAACTTTTATTTTTGGCAGATAAAAGATTGAATAGTAATTATTTAGTCTTCCTAATGGGTTGGGATGCCAAATACTTGGAAAGTTTGATTGGTGTGGGCCATTACTTCCCTTATTATATGCGTATATAGTCTTTAATATATGCTTTTGTTTTAATTATTCCAGTAAAGGAAGTTACTGTAACTTATAATAAGGGAAGTTAGTACTTTTCACATAGCTGTTAATGTTGACCAGATGCTCCATTTTAGTAGAGAGATAGCACAATCCAGCCAACATAAGTATGATTTAATTTTTTTTTTCTCTCCAGTTGTGCAAAGCTTAGGAAAGTAAGTCTAAAGTTTACTTTGTAGAAATCCAGCTTTGACATTAAAGGATAGAGACAAAACAAGTTCCAGCAGAACAGCTTTGATGAGTCATCGTTTTATTTTTGTCTACATAGCTATCTTCAGAATAAGGAAAGGTTCCAGACACCCAGGAGGAAATGAGAATACCTGTTACCTTAACATAACAAACAAGGCTTTTCCCTTTGGCTCGGGAGAATTCAGCTCAGAGGACAGTGGGGAAAAAGAAGAAGAAAAGAAAATGTCACCATGATGCGGAGGAATTCAGTTGAGGGATCTTGGCAGCCTTAGCAATTAGGTTAGTGGGGTTGTTCTTCTCGATGTCGTGTTGGCATTGTTTGGGTCTTTTCATATGGTGCTTGGCTTCTTACTTCTTGCAGCATGGAGGGGAGGAAGTGGGGCAGCAGGTCTGGATGCAAGGAAGAGCGCAGCTGCAAGGAGAGCAAGAGGACTGGCCACAGCTGGATTGGCCTCCACAGGAGGACTGGCCACAGCTGGATTGGCCTCCGCAGGAAGACTGACCACAGCTGGATTTGCCACCACCGCAGGAAGACTGACCACAGCTGGATTTGCTACCACCGCAGGAACAGGAGGATTGGCCACA